GCTCAGAGAGGTGAGGCCTCGCCCCCAGTCACGCAGCCGGTCATGCAGCCGGTCACGCAGCCGGTCACGCAGCCGGTCACGCAGCCGGTCACACAGCTGGTCACGCAGCCGGTCACACAGCCGGTAAGCGACAGGGCCGAGCTTCAAACTCAGCTCACGGCGAGGCCATGCGGCCTCTGAGAATCCCCAGGCCTGAAACACCTTCACCACAAAGCCTTCCCCGACGGCTCTCGGGGCTGGGCCGAGGGACGCAGCCCAAACCCAGCAGCTGCAGAGCCCAGGCCCCCCACCACAGGGAAGGCCTTTCTGGCCGCACACATTTGCTCTTCCAGACATTTAATAAAAGGCGACAAGCAGCACGGGCCTTTCTGGCTTCTTTCACACGGATTTCGAGTTTGGGCTCCTTTATAGTACAGCTAGTGGCCTGGTGCACGGATTCGTGCACACTGAAAGGAAATTAATTAGAAGAAATATTTTTTTTTTAAATAGATTTTATTGATTTTTTACAGAGAGGAAAGGAGAGAGATAGAGAGTTAGAAACATCGATGAGAGAGAAATATTGACCAGCTGTCTGCTGCACATCTCCCACTGGGGATGTGCCCGCAACCAAGGTACATGCCCTTGACCGGAATCGAACCTGGGACCTTTCAGTCCACAGGCCGACGCTCTATCCACTGAGCCAAACCGATTTCGGCAGAAGAAATATTTTAATATCACTATTTCGCCCTTTCTCTAGAATAGAAGTGTCAACCAAATTCACGATGGAGGATGAAAGATCGAAACACATGTGTGCACCTTAGCTGGTTTGGCTCAGTGGATAGAGCGTCAGCCTGCAGACTGAAGGGTTCTGGTCAACTCCAGTCAAGGGCCCGTGCCCGGGTTGTGGGCTCAATCCCCAGTGTGTGTGTGTGTGTGGGGGGGGGGCATGCAGGAGGCAGCCGATCAAAGATTCTCCCTCATCATCAATTATTCTAACATTCCCTCTCCCTTCCTCTCTGAAATCAATAATAACTGCAGGAGTGTTTGACTATATTCTGTGCAGCGAGAAAACCCGAAGTCATTTTGAAGGTCCACCATTTCTTACCTCTTTTCAGTCGGGTCAAGTTTCTAAGCTTTCTAAATCTCCATTTTC